TTCCAAATTAAAAACTTTTCTTTATGAAAAGACATAAAGACTATAAATAGACAGGCCACAGACCAGGTGAATGTATTAGCAAAACACATCTGACAAATGACTTGTAATCAGAATGCATAAAGAAAAGAATTCTTACAACTCAACCACGAAAAGACATAAATAAAACAATGTGGGTAAAAAATTTGAAATGACACTTTACAAAGGAAGCTACACAAGGGAAGACCAATAAGCACAAGGAAAATTGCATAACATTATTAATCATCAGGAAGATGAAAATTAAAACCACAATAACGAAAATTAAAAAGACTTTCAACACCAAGTATTGACAAGGATATAGAGCACCTGGAACTCTCTTACACTGTTTGGGTATATAAAATACAAAAAAAAAAAAAAAAAAAATCTGTGGTTTCTTTTAAATTAAACATACACCTATTCTTTGGTCCAGCAATTCCACTCCTAGGTATTAACCAAAGGGAAATGAAAACATATGTCTACAAAAAGACCCGTACAAGAATTTTCACAGCAGCTTATTCATGATAGTAAAAAACTGGAAGCAACTGAAATGAAGAATGGATAAACGAAGTGTGGTATGTTTATAGAGAAATAATCGTTATATTTAGGAGAGTATCAGAATATTGAAGGAGAAGGAAAGAAAGTATAATTTGAAAAAAAAAAAAATCTCCAGATGTTTCTGATATACCCCTAGGAAGACATTCCATGCTTCAAATAATCAACTTACAAATAAGCTTTTGGAACATAATTTATATGAAAACTTTTTCTGATGACTTAGCCACCACGGAGCATTACGAATATTCTGAAATTATTAGAATAGGTGTACGGGTACAGCAGTGGGATGGTAGAGGCATTTCCCACATTTAGTCTATAGCTTTGGCTTACAATGCCTTCACTTTGAAATATGATTTTCTTGGGCATCATATTTACTTCTCTAAACACAATTTCTTTTGACCATGTTAGTCTTTGTTTATAGTGATTGAACCCACACCAACTGCTAATGTTCTAAGTCCCAAAGTGTGGTAAGAAGCAGCCAGAATTTGCTACTATAATTCAGTGTCAGATAAGGAGTCTTTCAGTGGTGCAAACAGTTAAGTGATTAGCTACTAACTGTAAGGCTGACAGTTTGAATCTACCTGGAAGTGCCTTAGAAGAAAGCCCTGGCAATCCAATTCTGAAAGATCAGTCACTAGAAACCCTATAGAGCTCAGTTCTACTCTGAAACTCCTGGGCTCTCCATGAGCTGGAATCGACTTGATGGCAACTGGTTTGGTTTATATGGTCCATGAGCGGTACAAATGGTTTGAGCTCCACTACTACTTGAAAGGTGGTGGTTCAAATTCACCCAGTGCTTTGCAGAATAAAGGCCTGGCAATCTACTTTCATAAGATGATAGTCATTGAAAACCCTATGGAGTGCAGTTCTACTTCAACATTGTGAGGTCACCATGAGTGGGAACTGACTTGATGGCAATGGGTTACTGTCAAATATCAGGAAGTGACTCTACTCATTAAAACAGCTTCCGGTTATGGTGTCCACAATGTAATTTGCTTTAAAATTATTCACAATTAACAAAATTCCTGATACAGCAAAGAATATTGATAACACCTTGACATTTTTTCAAGACTATCTAAAATACTGTATAATTTTAAATTCACAACAAACAAACTCACTGCCATGGAGTTGGATTTGACTCACAGCGACCCCTCCCTGGGTTTCTGAGGCAGTATCACTACAGAAGCAGACTGCTTGATCTTCCTTCCAATTTTATTTATTTATTTATTTTTGTGATTTGGGTGAAGATTTACACAGAGCAAATTCACTTTCCATACAGCAGTTCACATATACTTTGTCTCATGTCATTGACCACAGTTTACCACAATGCAACAGCTTCCCTCCCTCTTCCTCCCCATAGTTACCTGTTCCCAGTGTCCATCCCTCCATACACTCCTGACCCCTGAGCTATCTCCCTGTGCATAAGCAGCCCTTCTTTCTCCCATGATTGTTCTCTCCAAAGAGTGTATCTACTTGAGGTAAATGTTCAACTCATATGCCTGTATTTTGTTTGGCTGGAAACCACAGGTGTGGGTTCAATTCCAGACCTGAAGGGCAGCTAGGGGCCATAGTCCCAGTGGTTCCACCAGGCTCTATCGGACCAGCAAACCTGGTCCCCACCTTTTTTTTTTCTCTCCAAATGATTTTGAGTTTTATTCCACATTGTTCTCCCTCTCTATCAAGGATCTCCTACATAGATCCCCTTCCAAGTGGATGACAATGGTAGCCGGGCACCATCTAGTTCTTCTGGTCTCATAGTTGTATAGGCTGCAGATCGGATGGTGTACCAGTTGCTAGGACTAATTGTTTAAATGAATTTTTGGTTTTCTTCATTCTTCTTTGCTCTGGACGAGGAGAGACCCATCGTTGCATCTAGATGGCAGCTTGCTAGCTTTTAAGATCGCAGTCGCCAAAGTAGGAGGTGGAACAATGTTTTGTATAGCATGTTATGCTTCCTTCCAAATTTTAAATTAACAAATAATAATTGTTCATATATAGAATACACCTTTGCTAAATACTGAAATGTGATTATTATCTACAGGAAGGGACAACAGTACCCCCCCACAAATTTTGGACTCAATTACAAGTTTTCTTTGTGAAAAATATTAATACTTTAAAAACATTTAGAAAGCTTAAGTTTTCAAAAGCATAACTGAAGAACTTATGCTTTTATATGCCAGGATACGAAACCTGTTGGAAGCTTGTTATTGAAAGTTAGACATTTCCTACTTAATTTTGAGAGATGGTTTTAATAAATACAGACTCCATTAATTTAAATTAACAATAACTTAAGAGAAAATAGAGTCTAGAGCTGTATTTCTCCAGCTCCTTCTCCTCCTCCACCTCAGCCAAATACAAATTTCACACTCCATTCACTGACAAAGACAGATGTGCAGAAGATACAAGCAGGTAGGTTTAGTCTATACCTATTTTCTGTAGCTCACACTATCAAGCCATATTTTTACTCCCAACTAAATAAATATATTATATATGCTTTTTAAAATTACCACCGATGTCTTCCTTCCCACAGGAGATTCTGATATTTCTCCCCTTCCTCTGAGAATCTTAATATAGAGGACAGAATTAAGATTTTGTCTGCAAATAACATTGTTGGTGCTATGCTTTCTGGATTCTGTTTTGGAATTAGCGGAGTAGGGAAAGGCATCTGAATGGGATTCTGAGCAGACATAATGCAGGGGCAGTGTGGCCTGCCTGGTCGGTGGCTCTGTAGGCAGCAGGACTTTGCTGGGCTTACTCACCGAGTCACCAGCAGAGGAGGAACAGACTGGTAACTGGCAACAGGTCTAATGGAATTGGAACAGGATGAAGGGTCCCCAGTGGAAGCCCTGGGCCCTGATTTCCTGCTCATAGGGCTCAGCTGTTGAAGTAAGGTGGGAAAGACCCTTAGTAGCAGAGATTGTCAGCTACAAGGAGTAGCCAGCTGCTATAGCTGGTCATCTATAAAGTTAAAGAGGAGACTGCAATCTTAAAAGCTAGCAAGCTGCCATCTAGATGCAACGATGGGTCTCTCCTCGTCCAGAGCAAAGAAGAATGAAGAAAACCAAAAATTCATGGAAACAATTAGTCCTAGCAACTGGTACACCATCCGATCTGCAGCCTATACAACTATGAGTGACAAACAGAAGAGTTCAATTTTTAACAAAGTGGTACATCTGTTTTGACTATCAAAGGTCTTTGTTTGTATAGTCAATGTATGCTCAGACATTATTGCTGAATATCTATCTGTTCTAATATGAACTCATCTCTATATCACTGAAGATAACGACAATTGCTCTAAAGCACTAAGTACAGGGAAGCAATAGTCTGAACAGAATTATGTTTTAATTTAAAAGCTGGGATACTGTTAACAGGGTAAGTCATTCTGTTCTTAGTCCACAGCATGTATTCCATTGTGCTTCATTCTCACCAAATATCATAGCTTCCTGAGTAATTTTTCTGCATGTCAACATGACTTTTATTATTTGAATATTTACTGGGTTGCTACTGTAGGAGGACTAAAATCATTTTTAGAGAAATCAGCCTACATCGTGAGACAGAATTCCCGTAATGTTTCTGAATAATTTTATTTTAGTTACTCGCAAGGGAAAATAAAATTGACTCAGGTACCAATTCTTTTGTTATTTTCAGGTAGAAAAATGAATTCTGTCCTGTTAATTCCATCTGTTCCTCCAAAACAAGAGAGCCTGCTGAAACACTGTGTTGACCAGAACCACCACTGCAGTTACAGTATGCTTTTATTAGTATATGAGCAATAATCCCTAAACTAACTATTATAAATAAAGATGTACGAAATGAAAAATAGGATTGCAAAAGAAGCATTGTTTGCTTTCAACTTAAACAATAAACTTAATCCATGTAAGAAATCAATAGTATTAATAATATTGTTCCCATATATATCTAACACCCACTAGAATTAATCAGTGAAGGTACTGCCTATTTTCCTATAATGCTTCATTTGTGTAAAATCTTAATCACCAAACCTATTGTGAAATACTTCATAACACTTTTAAACTCAAATTGAAATGCTGTTGAATAATAACCCAGTAATAAAAGCTTATTCAAGAAAGAAAATAAAAGGATGTGAAGTGAAACAAAAAAGCATTATAGTTATAATACTGTCTACCACCTTATTCGATACTCACACTCATTAGGATGAAAATCATTATTGTGCTGTCATCTAGATTTTAACACATGAATATAATCCCTATTAGAACACACACATGCATGCACACGCACATATACTTGCAGCACTAACTTCAGAGATGATGAATACTGAAATAAATAGTCTCTACTTACTTTGTAAAAACATTAATTCTAAAAAGTTGGTAGCTTACCAAAATCAAACTGAAACCTGAGGGTGAAAATTGGATCTCTGTAAATTAGACGCTTGTTAATCAAACTGAAATACTGACCTTGTACGCTTGCATAAGCATGTGGATGACACCAGGGGCACCATGGCACCAGTGGACCAATCTATCTGTCTCATTGCTTAATGACGAAGGGTAGTTCCCAGATCGGAATTTTTTGTGGCGTACATAATCAATACTAGGTTTCACCATTTCTGTCAAGGTTTCTTGGTCCACTTTTGCTGCTGGCTTTAACAAACAAACAAACAACAAAGCCAAAACAATTTAGTTTTTCTTTCTTTCTTTCTTTTTTTTAAATTACTGTATTGTGGCTAATACAATAAAACTCTAATTACCCAGTATACTCAGGGGCATAAAAATTAGGATTAATTATCTAGTTAATTAAAACTAATTCACACATTTTTTTATTTCCTCCAATTTTCGAAAATATATTACTGTTATAATATATTCAATATACATTTGTTAAATATATACTTTAAAAATATTTATTCACAAAAAGTGTCCTTAGGTATTCTCCCTGACACACATGTAGAGAATAAATTACATTTCTGAAAACAACTATATGCAAATAAGGAGCTCTGGTAGTGTAGTGGGTAAGTCATTTGGCTGTTAACCAGAAGGTTGGTAGTTCAAACCCACCAGCTGTTCTGTGGGAGGAAAATGAGGCATTCTACTTCTGTGAAGATTTATAGGCTTAGAAATCCTCTGGGGGTCACTATGGGAAGGAATTAGCTCGATGGACGTGAGCACGATAGGTGGGTCATATAAATGATACTTTAAAAATTACTTTTATCCAAATACATGCACATAGTTTAAAAAGTCAAATATGACCTAGCATTCTACTCTTAAGTACATACCCCAAACACTTAAAAGCAAGACTCAGAGACTTATACACCAATGTTCACTGTAGCTATTTACAATAGCCAAAATGTGAAAGCAACCCAAGAGCCCATCAAGAGATGAACGGATAAATAAAATGTGGTATATCCATATGTCTTAGGCTGGGTTCCTCTAGAGGAGTAAAACCAGTGAAGCATAGATTAATTTCAAGAAAATGGCTCATGCTGTTGTACTGGCTAGCAAGTTCTAAGTCCACGGGTTAGCTATGTTGTTGTTGTTATTGTTATGTGCTGTCGAGTCGGACCCGACTCATAGAGACCCCTCCTTGGGTTTCCGAGGCAGTATCACTATGAAAGTAGATTGCCCCATCTTCCTTCCGAGGAGTGGCTGGTGGGTTTGAACTGCCAGCCTTCTAGTTAGCAGTCAAGTGCCTTAGGCACTCTGCTACCAGAGCTCCTTAGGCTGACTAATCCAAGATCAGTAAGTCAGGCAGCAGACTCACAGGCTGCAGAGGCTGACAAATCACAAAAACTAGAGGTCACATGATGACAAGTCAGAAGCAGGACGCAGAGCAAGCCAGCTTTGCAGAACATCCATATATATATTGGATACTGGCCATATCCCAAAGGAAACACTCCTCAAAACGGATTGGGTGATTATGTCAGATCACATCATGGTGGATGATTACATCATCACATAACTGCTAAACTACATCATCATATAACCGCCAAACTACTGAGAATCATGGCCCAGCCAAGTTGACACAAAACTTTAACTATAACTGGCATATATATAAAAGACCTCTCGTGGCATAATGGGTAAGGCTGCTGACCTGAAGGTCAGCGGCTCAAGCTCACCAGCTGCTCTGTGGAAGGAATATCAGGCTATCTACTTCCATAAAGATTTACAGCACAGGAAACCCAATGCGGGTTGCTATGAGTTGGAATCAACTCAATGACAATGAGTTATATACATAAATATGTGTGTGTACATATGTGTGTATATACATAAATATGTGTATGTGTGTGTGTGTACATATATATATATACACAAACAAGTGTGCATATATATATATGTGTGTGTGTGTCTGTACGTATATGTATATATATATTTAAAGACATTTATTTCAAGGAAGTAGCTCACACAGTTGTGGATGCTGTTGTTAGGTGCCACTGAGTCAAATCCGACTCACAGTGACCCTCTGTACAATAGAATGAAATACTGCCCAGTCTTGAACCATCCTCACAATCATTGCTATGCTTGAGCCCATTGCTGCAGATACCTTGTTAAGGGTCTTTTATTTTGCTGACCCTCTACTTCTCCAAGCATTATGTCCTTCTCCAGGCACTGGTCCATCCTGATAACATGTCCAAAGTCTCACCATCCTTGCTTTGAGGGAGCATCTGGCTGTATTTCTTCAAAGACAGATTGTTCATTCTTTTGGCAGTCCATAGTACATTCAATATTCCTCACCAATGCACAGTTCAAAGGCATCGATTCTTCTTCAGCCTCTCTTATTCATTGTCCAGCTTTTGCATGCATATGAAGCAAATAAAAAGACCACTGTCTTAGGTAAGGCACACGTTAGTCCTCAAAGTGACACCTTTGCTTTTTAACACTTTAAAGAGGTCTTTTGCCACAGATTTACCCAATATAATATGTCATTTGATTTCCTGCCTGCTTCTTCCATAGGTGGATTCAAGTAAAATGAAATCCTTGACAACTTCAATTATTTTCTCCATTTACCATAATGCTGTTTATTAGTTCAGTTGTGAGGATATATTTTTTCTTTATGTTGAGGTGAAATCCATACTGATGGCTGCGGTCTTTGATCTCCATCAGTAAGTGCTTCAAGTCTTCTTCACTTTCAGCCAGAAAGGCTGCTAAAAGGATGTAGTGGTGGCATCTTCTGACCTCCTCCAGTCTCACAAGGCAGAAAAAGAATCACCATTAACAGCCCAAGACTTATTCCTATAAGCCCAAACATGTAGCCACCCTCCAGCCTTTTACCAATTTTGGCACTACCCATCCCTCCCATGGCACTCACTACTCTGCTGGGTTCGATAACTTGTTGCAATGGCCACGCAGAACTCATAGACAACACTCATGATTATGGGGTTTATTAGGAAAGTAACAGGCTACAATTGAGGTTCAGTAACATGCTCAGGATATAATTCTTTGATCAGGACAGTCTTTCCTCTGCTGTGACCTCAGACATGCCTCTCTGGCCCTTGGCCTCTCAGCCTGGCCTCTGCACTGCTTGGGGAAGTGTTACAAAGGTCTTTTAGCTCTGCCAATAGGTACACCTAGGTACACCTCAGGCTGCCAGCAAGCCTCCTGCCTAAGGGGACTCAGCTTTGTCGTTCTGTGGGCCAGGAAAGCCTGCTGCTCTATCTTGTTCCTCTTGGTTCAACTGCCACTGTTTCTGCTGGACATCTCTCTCTGCTGGGCGTCTCTCTCTCCCTGCTGGGGCATCTCTACCAAGGAGGTCCAGTGCAGGGATCTTAGATCCAAGGACACACTCTATTCATCTCCAGCTCTTCTCTCTTGATGGCAGTGAGATCTCACTTTTTGCTTCTAGGAAGGCTCATTTTAAGCCTGGTAGAGTGACAAAATTAACCAATCCTAATATCAGAGTTCTACAAACCTTAGTTGCATGGTCCCACCCAGCAATCTGGTGGGAGTTATAAAGACTTTGGGTAGAAAAGCCATACCAAGTAATTCACTGTACTGCAGAGGTGTTATCATCTGCATATTGCAGGTTCCTAATGAGTATTTGTCCAATCCTGATGCCACATTCTTCTTTATATAGCCCAGCTGGGATTATCTGCTCAGCATAAAGACTGAATAACTATGGTAAAAGGATACAACTCTGACACACATCATTCCTGATTTTAAACCACACAATATCCCTTTGTTCTGTTCAAATGACTGTTTCTTGATTTATATATAGGTTCTGCATAAGCATAATTATTTGTCCTGGAATTCCCATTCTTTATAATGTTAACCATGATTTGCTACAATCCACAGAGTGAAATGCCTTTGCATAGTCAATAAAACAGGTAAACATCTTTCTGGTATTCTCTGCTTTCAGCCATGATGCATGGGACATCAGCAATGATAGTGCTTATTCCACATCCTCCTCTGAATTTGGCTTGTGGAGGCTGGCATGTCCCAAATTTATGGGTCAGACATCATGTTGGATGTCTCTGCTGACGCACATGGTTGCAGGGACTGACAAACCCCAAATCAGCAGGTCAGATGGCAGACTGCTGGGTCACAGGTCTGTGGAAGCTGGTGAGTCCCAAAATCTGGTCAGGTGACAGGTTGCTCTCTCATATCTCAAGAACCAGAGGTCAGAGGATGACCAGTTGGATGCAGGACTGAGAGCAAGTGGGCTTTGCCAGAACATCCATTTCTGTCCACACCCCCAGGAAGACTACCCTTTTAAATGATTGGCTGCTTAACATCCAATCACAAAATGAAGGATGATTACATAATATCTGCCAAATCACTGAGAATCATGGTCTAGCCAAGTAGGCACATAACCTTAACCATCATGTAATACAACAGAATATTATTCAACCATAAAGAGAAATGAAGTTTTGATACATGCCACAACTTCATGAATCTTGAAACATGCTAAGTGAAATAAGTCAGAGACAAAAGAATATTGTATGATCCCACCTGTGTGAAATATCTAGAATAGACAAATGCACAGAGACAACAGTTTATTAGTGGGAAGGAGAAATGGGGAGCTACTGGTTATGGGGTACTGAGTTGGTAGGTTATTGGTTTGGGGCGATGAAAATGTTTTGGAAATGACAGTTGCACAATGTGATGAATGTAATCAATGTCACTAACTATACACTTAAAAATAGACTCAGAATGCCCTCCTTGGGTTTCAGAGGTGCTATCTCTACGTAAGTAGATTGCCCAGTCTTCCTTCCAAGGAGTGGCTGGTGGGTTTGAATTGCTAGCCTTCTGGTTAGCAGTCAAATACCTTAGGCATTATGCCACCAGAGCTTCTGAATTAATATATACAATAACGTTATTAACTATGTATTAATATATGTAATACATATTATTTATATGTACACAACATACACACACACACACACACACACACATTTGGGGCCTGGGACTGGGGGCTGCTTTTCGCTTTGGGGGGCTCTTTACTAAGGCTGGGGCCATATTATCTACTATGCTAAATGACAAATTGAAGAGGAAAGGTGTGGATTCATTGTCACAAAGTATTTCAAGATCTGTCCTGAAGTATAACACTGTCAGTGTAGGATAATATCCATTGTGTTTACAAGGAAGACCAGTTAATACTACTATTATTTAAATTTATGCACCAACTCCCAAAGCCAAAGATGAGGAAATTG